ATTTTGCTAGCTCAGTGTAACTCTCATATTAACTATTAATCATTCCTAATCACTTCAAAACACGGAGATTTATGGCTTTAATAGGTAAACTCCAAAAATATTAATAAAAAAACGTAACAGATATTTCTTGATTATAGGGCGAAACGAAGTTCGCCGGGTCTTCTAGTATATATATATTATTTGTCAACTCAAATGCTCAATGATTTCTTAACACATATTTGTAATTTGCTTTACTCTTCCTTTCAATAAATATCTTTGACTACAGCTTTTTAAGTCATGAAATTTCTAAAAAAAAAATCTATAAAACACGTTTTTTACAGAATCAATTTGTACTGTACGATAATATTTTACTTTTGATTTAATTAAATTTAGACTATTTTATAGAGAGGAGCTGGGACGGTGGAGGCGAGCGTTTAACGCGCATTCGATACGGGCCCCTTAAACCTACACCTGGGTCGCAAGTCCCAGGCACTGTTGAAGCTCCTCTCCCTGCAACGATGGACCCGGGTACCGCACAATGTATGCTTGAAATGCTGAGAAGTTTCGTCTGCCTTAATTACAATGTATTTTTTAAATATTATTGAATAGAATATCCGGAATATTTTATATTTAACCAACTATTGAGTATTTAAGTATATAAAACCAATGTGTCACTAGCAACGTTCTTTAAACCTTAATCTGAAGATAAACATTTATATTATTTAATGACTTCATTCATAAGCTTGATTGATCTAACAATATTTTGTTCAAAGCCTGTATATATTATGCTTATATACGTGTGTTCGTCACAAAGTTCGAATCAATCCACTACAATAGACTTTTAGAGAACAAACGGAATCGAATTCAAATTTCTATCGCTAGTCTTTTTATATTTAGTTCGTCATTGTGATTTTTGTTTGAATGAAAAGTAGAAAATAAATTAATTTTATTGTAACTCTCATTTATTACTTGTTAAGTATTTTTTTGGAGTAAATATCATGATTTAAATAATCTATACCTAAGTTATTCTTACGTATTGAAATCACCTTGAATAGTTCGAATTTTATTCCTACTATCCGTGTTTTTTTTTCTCATAAATATGTTCATTGTAATTATTAGATAAAATTGTATATATAAAATAAAATATTTTTATAAATAATACAATATTATATTATAAAAATGGTCCCTTTTCATTGATGTGTTCAAATCCATTTAGATAAGTGAACATAAAATCAATTTTCCGTGAATGGTTAGATTTTAAAGGGTTTTAGTGAATCGCGCTATACAATTTATGTGTAACGTAAGGCAGCGGTCGGCAACACGAGGCACGCGGTCCACATACGATTATAGATATATGTATGTACTTACTCGCAGCCCTTGACTGCTATGTAAATAAAAGGCTTTATAGGTAACTTTTATTTTTAAAAAAATATTCAGGTATCTTATAACTTAGTTTTTTTTACTATACCTGCCGAAATGTTGCCGAACCCTGGTGTAAAGTATTTCATATATGTAATACAATTTAAACTCAAATACGCGTAAAAATTCATAAATGATTGTGGTAGATATCAATTTATATTTCAATTATTACAACTTATTATGATCGAAGAATTTGTTTCTGTGTACGTTTGTCAGTCCATTATTTTACAAAATCGATACAATTCAATTGAATTTGTATGAAAGTATACAGTCCTTTCATAAATTTCTTGAAATCAAGAACTTGAAACCAAAAAATTTACAGACAGAAATATATAATATTTGAAATTTGATAGCTTGTTTTATTATTTTATTAATATTTATAATAAAAGATAATTAGTTGAATCTAAGTCATGTACCTCACAAAAAGACGTACCTTATTCAAATTAAACTAATATTTTTCGGATTTACTTCGCCTTTTTAATTTTGACTATAAACTACATACTCCCGACGTTTCGGATACTTTACAGCAACCGTGATCACGGGCAGACGAGATGTGAGATGTGAGTATGAAGTTAAAAAAAAAAACCGCGTAGTATAATCCGAAAAATATAAGTTTCATTTAAATGAGTAATACTCGCGAAAATCTTAGATCTCATTAGAAGTAGTAACCTATGTTTCTTAAACAAAGAAGACCTCTAAAAGTACATTTTCAAGCAATAACATTGTAACATATTAGCAGCTATAACATATTATCTGACACTTGTCTGTGGACTTATCAGCTGCGTTGATGACTAAAAATATTCTCTTTACTAATGAGATCTAAGATTTTCGCGAGTACTCATTTAAATGAAACTAATATTTTCGGATTTTATTTCGCGTTTGTATTTTTGATTATAAACTACATACTCCCGACGTTTCGGCTACTTTTCAGCCGAAACTTTCTTTACTAAAGGAATCCAAGAATTGTTAATACATAGATATGTAACAGAATCATGAAGATAGCTTCGTGTAATTCGAACAATCAAAACGAATATTTTCATTTTGCTGCTTCCTTGAATATTTAATGTAATTTATGGGTTGTATACAACACAGAAGGTAACCAAGTTTTATTTTTACGAAGGAATGGTTCATCTCGGTAAGTCTTTAAATTATTATTTAAAGCCTAAGTTCTACGTACTTAACCGTCTCAAGGATTAAACAGATGATTATTTATATTTATTTATAAAATATGTGCCAATACATCCTAAATGTTTGCCTTCCACGAAAGGCAAAAAAGATATCAGCTGGTCCAACCCTGCAACATCTACTGTTCTTGACGGTAGAGAGAGTCCTAGCCCAAGAACAGAATATGAAATAACTTTATCTTAAGCCAATAATGACGTTATAGCTTCTTACAATGTATTTTCATCATATATATGAGAGTGTGGATCTTGATGGTGCAATCGAATGAGGAGAATAAGTTTAAAATCACTGTCAGCTGTAAACCCAGTATCTTGAGTGAAGGGAGGACAATGGCTCTGTGGTCGACTTTCTAGAAACTCTCACTTCGGTTACTAATACGTACTTCTCCCCCAACTGCAGCTTGATCGATTTCGAAAACTTCATTAACCGTCAAAATTGAGAGTGTAGAAAAAGAAAAATTTTAGGCTTCGGTTTCATATAGTCTTAACGTCAGGAATAACAGGAGTACGTACGAATAGATTTGCAAGCTAAGGAGAATACAGAGAGCGTGAGGCAACAATACTCCTCACGCCCCAGCCGCCAATAAATATGGCCTTATGGAGGCCAATTCGTTTTCAGAAGCTCAGTAACAGTAAAATAGCAATTAGTTTATTACGGAAATAGGCACAATAAATTGTAATCTTATTTAAGAGGCTTTAAACATTGAAGTTATCTAGAACTTTTAAAGTAATTGCTTACGTATGACCTGGATTAGTATTAGGATTTATTATGCTTTATAAAAATATTAAATATACAACCTCTTTTCATAGAGTAATAAAATTGATTTATAATAAGAATCATGTATCTAATTATCGTTCTCTATTTATTTTAAATACAACATTTAAGTAAATAGAATAGACGACATCTTATTGGGTAATATAAAGTTACCAGACAGACAGACTTTTTTCCTAGGAGACATTGAAAGCATTCGGAATTTTAAAGATAAGTTATTAAATTTCTCGAGGAAAAATTAGGGACCTAAATTAATTTTCTGAATATACGAGTATATGTTTATGCGTGTATGTGTACGTATGTATATTAGAATAAACTATAATGTTTCAATATTTTATTTGTTACATCGTATTTCTATTTGTTATCATTATGATGCATATTACAATTATTAGTCATCCCAGCCCTACAAAATTGATATTTATCTGTTTTCTTATTTTTACGTCGGAGTTGCCTACGATTCTGAAACAAAATAATTTAAAGTTCAAAACCAATTTTTTTATTTAAATTTTGTTTATATTTTCATTTTTTAATACATGAGATGTTAGTTTGTTCAAAAAGGCCAAATTATTTTTCCATATGATTTTTCATATTTAACAAAATAATATTCTAATAAGGTGAATAATATTGTGTTCATATAAGTTATGTGATATTATAATATTTGTACACTATGTTTACTAATTCATTTATATCGGCATGTTACTTCAATAATTAAATGTACATAAAGAGTGAGTCTTCTAAACTATTCACAACATGTAAGGCAGACCCTGGCTATAGCTGGGAAATTGCCAGGTAGAAGAAGAAGAAAGAGTGAGTCTTCTATATACTGTCAATATTCAATATTAAATATTCAACTTACGCCGTATCATCTTCGTTCCATATAACATATCTCCTTACAATTTTAAAACCGAGTTTGCTAGCTTCTTGATTACAAATATCAATACTCCGTCTCTGACTGAAATAATATTGAAATTTTTATGAATTAAGTAATTACTTATAAATATATAAAGACAATAAAAACTAAGCAACAGTTAAAAAAAACATGTTACGCAATACATCAATATTAAACAGGTTAACTAAGACTTTTGTATTGAGCTAGTTTTAGTCTGTGACAAATCTATTTTGGAATAAATAACCGTCCTAAATCTCAAGTTTAAAATCATTTACAGTGTCATATTTTATTAGTCAATGCAAATCGTATTACATATATTGAAAACTTCTGCATGTGTATTTAAAATTTATTCTAACCATACACATTGTATATATGAAGAATAACTAGCCGAAGTGAATCCATGGAATGATGAGAGATTTATTTTTTATATTAATTTTAAAGATAAACGAGCAGACGGCCTACTTGGTGGGCAGTAGCTACCGTTACCCATGGACATCCGCAATAATATGCTGCGAATGCGTTGCCAACTTTGTTTTTTTTAGGAATAAGAAAGGGTGGGAATAAGGGAATGTAAGGAAAAGGTGAAAAAAGTGGAAAGAGCTACCTACTCTCTCACTCATAGAACAAAACTCATCCATTAAAGGCTACTTCACTCCTATCTTCTGTGACGGCTAACAAATTCCAGATTTGGACAATTTCAATAACGTAGTAAAAAAGACGTTAAAAGGGAAATATTTGACTGTAATAAATCTGTAACAAATTACTTAGTTTCCTCTAGAAGACACTCTATAAACACTTTGTTTCGGGCTGTACTCGTGTAAAGGAAAGGTCCTATGCATTTCGTATCCTTATCAACTCTGAACACAGAGCCAACTCCTAGAACTGTCTCCTCTTCATTGATCCACGTCACAAGAGGAACTCCGTGGTCGTTCTAGATACAAAAATAAAACACTAAATTTTATCTTAGAACTTTCGAATACACAAATCTATTGGGGGAACGCTATCATAAATAAAAATTTGTAGAAATTATATATACTTCATTCTTAGAATAATCTAATTTTGATGTATGAAATTAAAGAATATTTATTTCTGTATATTAATATTATTACCTGACAAATTCCTCCTTGTCTTCTAGTCAAGGAATCGTCTTCGTTAACTAACTATAAAAAAAATGTAATTAGGTATACGAATAACATATGTTTTGTAACAAATTCATTGACCTTGTGATAATTATTGTAAAATAGTTATCAAGAAGTATATCTCTTAAATTAAATAATATACCTATAAGTTATAAATAATTATTTTTTATATCATGTCATATATGTAAAACTTAAATTTTGTATGATTTTAATTAAAAGTTTATATGAGATAAGTTAATTTTAAGTCTACATAAACATGTAATAAAATCTAGCAGACCTCGTTTCTTTTAGAGCCGTCGTTCTTGTTTAGCATAAAAATAAATATCATCAATACATACGAATTTGAATTCAATATCTCAGCCATGAATACACTACAAAAGTTCAATTCTTCAATCCTTTACAACGAACGTTTGAGTGAATTTCAAATGATCTTAATTGGCTGCACGATATTCAAATATAGCAATATAAGGTTCATTCTTACGGCTTATTGTATTCTATACAATGACCTACATCTATTTCAAGATAGATCTATTACGTAGAAGTAGTTTTCTATAATAGTTCGAAAATAATTTTATGAACGAATATTTCTTTCATAGCTTTAAAATTTTGTAATATATAACCTACCCTGATCTTGATTTCTAAAGCCATTTTGATAGTTTAAATAAACGTTACGTCTCACAACAACCACTTTTTCTGGTGATATGGTAATGACAATAATAATTTGTAAACGTTATATATAATATGTACATCATTCTTAGAATAATCCAATTTTAATGTAAGAAATTAAAGAATATTTATTTCTGTATTATTATATTATTACCTGACAAATTCCTCCTTGTCTTCTATTGTCTATAATTTGTAGACAATTGACGTGCCCCAGGGTTTTATTTTAGTCTTGTCTATGTATATGTTTATAATTCCGATGACTGCATTCTATTTTATTATTTTTTGGTTTTTAGTACATATAATTTAAACATTGCAATGTATGTTTAACGTAAAACTGTTTAACTTAAAAAGTTCTTTTACCTATTTTTATTTTCTTGTTTTCAGTTTTTATTTCGCATTCTGTCTAATTCACTCGTGCTTCATTATTGCAAGGTTTATTGTCCGTTAGTTTATTGCAGTTCAACTCCTCTAAAAAAATTTTATCAGCCATTTGGTAGCGGCGGCCATCTTAGATTTTAATTTTATATATTACATTGTATTCTACTGGTTGAGCACTTTCATTTGATACCCATATTGATGGGAATGATAAAACCTACGTTATCCGCCATTTTGTAGCGGCCGCCATCTTGGATTTCAATTTTTTATAGTATATTGTATTCTGCTTGTTGAGCCCTTTCATTTGATACCCATATTGATGGGATTGATAAAACCTACGTTATCCGCCATTTTGTAGCGGCGGCCATCTTAAATTTAAAATGATAATGAATAAACATGTGTACCATTGTATTGTCATCAAAATCCAAAGTGTATATAAGTGTATATACAAAGTGTATATACATATAAAGTGTATATACAAAATTTCAGATTAATCGGTTGACACGAAGAGGGTGAAATTTGACTTACTAAATTTGAACTAAGAATAAATAATAAATAAAACAAACGGGGTGAGCTAAATAAAACCGTTTAAAAAATATTTTAATTCGAACATGATAAAGTTTGTTCTGAAACGAAATTAAAACTTTGCTTATGTACTGAAGTGAATTTAATTTCACGTTATCTTTGAAGTGGGTGCCACAAAGGTCCATAAATATTTTAAAAAATCCATACACTTTTTACAATATTCTGTTTAATAATAGTGGAGAAATTTGAACAACATGTTTTTTAAATAATTTGTAAGTCTTTGTAAAGTCTAAGAAATAACAAAATTGTTGGTACAATTCATACGAGGTCATAAATCACATAGACACTATGTAAACTAAAAAATCAATAAAACAACTTAAAATTACAAATCTGAATAGCCTATTTTTGCAAATTAAAAATCAAAACTGTTTATGTTCAAGAAGATAAAAAAAAACATTACTATAGACCAAATACAGTGTGAGCAAACTTGCTTTGTGCAATTACAGCGCACAGTTTTGCACACATAACGTGTGTATAGACTACAAAATAATTGAAATATTTTTCTTACACATCAAATCGGATAACCAGTCTGAGGAATAATTTTACTGACTGAAAAGATATGTTTATAATTTTGTCATTTTATTGAATTTTCTATAAAGTTAATTTAAAAACAGTGAAATAAAACATACTTTATCTAATAATAAAACCGACATTTATTTTACACGATTAAAATATATAACAGTATCATTATATCACTTAGACGTTGTGGTCTCATCAAACATAGAAATTACATACAAAAAGAAAATCCAAGACATATATATTGGTAGAAATTAATAATTAACCTTTACAAAATATCTATACATACTATACTAATGTTATAAAAGTATGGAATCTTCTGTTACATCAACGCTGATTAATTATTTTAAAAAATATAAACATCATTTCAACGTACTCTTAAAAATAGACACTATTTGAACATAACTACTTAACATTAATATACATATTTTATAATATCGTTTAAAATGTTCTGTGAATAATTAAATTTTATTACAAAACATATCTATACATGAAAAATGTTATTTATTAATATATATATAACTCTGCATACAATATATTGCATCTGATATAAACTTTATATACTAAATGTTTTATGAATATATAATAGTTGCTGAGTCAATTTTTATTAGTTACGCCATTTACAAAAATATCTTAGAGAGCTACCTATCAAAACCAAAACAAAAAAAATAACTCGCTTATAACATCAGTCAAAAATGGAATTTTACATTTCAGTACTTAATAGTCATCTAGGGCGGGTTTGTTGTGGAATAACATACAAATATCACAAATTAAATATATGTAATATTATATTTTAGGGACATTTCTCGTTTTAGCATGGCAATACTGGATATATGAATTTTTAAATGTAATGTAATTTTTAAATATTCAGTATATTGAAAACTGTGTCCATACACAGTTTTCACAAACACTGCCGCTTTTTAAAATTAGGACATTTTTCAATTCAAAGTAACTAAGAAATATATTTTTTATTGTTTCCTCAACTATACAGTAACATTATTGAATTTGAGCTGCACGAAGCACAGAAGACTTTATCTGATAGAAACACATGTCGCAATATTAATTATTTTATATTAGTAATTAAAAAAAATATTAAACTCACACACATACACACACAAACACACAAATGTATCTAGTCACGCACACATAAATACTCTTGAAAGCAGTTTTACACAAATACACTAAAATAAAGACACGAACATGCTTATACACACACATTCAAGCACGCATTTACATACAAACACAATCAAATGGACTCCAATGCATGCATTTACATGTGCACTAGTACATCAACTTACACACACACACATATATATACATATCTATTATGAACATAGTTGCTACTTGGCGCAAATAGACGCCTACTGAACTCGTACACACACACATACATATACAAGCACACATTCTCACACACATACACACACATACACACATAGAGGGATACTCACCACAGTTCCTACAGTGATGCCTGCGCCTGAAGGCCGTGAAGTGTGAGGAGCATCTCATACAGGCGGGCGCCGCTATATCAGGGACCCACTCTGGGGCTCGCTCCACTACTGATGATGAAGACGTATCATCCCTGATACATACAACATTATATATTAGAAACTAACTCATATGACATGTCTTCAATGAGATTTCTTATTCTATATGTTACTTTCGTATTATTTTTTGTTTATTATTTGATTTAAGGTAGAAATCATAAAATTTTATCATTTCATTTTAACTTGACACATATTTAAAACTAAATAAATGACCTTCTCAGATACTTATAAACTGCATCTATATATGAAACTGAATACACACACAAACATATATAAAACACACAACACATTTTATTTGAAGTCGATTAAAAACCAGTAGTCCACAAACCTATATGTTAGATCTCCCGTTGACACAGAGGCTTGCATAGTATCAGCTGATTTACGTCTATCGCTAACATTGGGCTCGTTCATAGTAGAGTTGACTGTGTTACGTCGCGCGACTCTAGATGGCTCTGATGTAGAGTCGGAGTTACTGTCCGCGTACACCTCCTCAGCCGAATAAACGCTGTCGAACGAACTTCCTAGAATATAGGATTAATAATAATATTGGATTTAATACCTTTATATATGTCGATATGTTTGTTGCTCTATAATGCATAAAATATTTAACGGGTTTAAATGAATTATTACAGTGTTGTAAGCTTAGTCATCAGAATAAGATATAGCCTATAATTCGTCCCAAAACGAATATAATTTTTTCTATATAACAACATAACATAATACTTCGTATGAAATCGCGTGACACAGTTGATAGATGTCACTGTTGACTAATAAACATACATATTATAGTTATGACACAATTCTGAAGTCTTTACGAACCAAGTCGAGGGTAAAAACTAGTGTTAGCATACCGTTCTGTATGACCTGATCCTCGCCAGCCTGATATTCTATGCTTTCCGGTACTTCCGCCGTTTGGTTCATGAGGAAGACAGCCTTCAATATATTGCGTAGATCAGCTGCGAAGTTAGTCTGCAACTGGTCAGCGACCCCGGCTATACATACGAACAGACGATGTATGAGATCCTCGGATGACGTGGAAATTATATTTAAAGATACATATATTAGATAAATATCAACTGTGTTACGTCATTAATAAATAATATCATTTTGATGGCTTATAAATCTAATAGAAACTTATACATATAAGGGTTGGTATAGTGCGTTTGATTTAAGTTGAACTTTGCATTTGTGTGAGTGCACACGGATAGTGTAGGTGCAATATCAAATTTTTTAATGAAACGTTATTTTCTAGTTTTAAACGGTTTGTACTGCTTTTACTTCGCCCCGCACCTTCCTCCCTTCACCTTTTGTACTGGTAGCAATATCAAATGTTGAAAACGTAATGTCAAGTGAATAAGAATTTGTAGTTTTTTCAAAATTCTTATTAATCAATATTTTTTTTCCATAATATTCATAATATTTCCATCTGGACTTTTACAAGTTTTGATTATTTTATAGCACTTATGTATCTATTTAAAATATAATGAAATTTAATTCTAAAAGTTTTTTGTGTAACTCTATTTTTACTTTCACTCACACAAATGCAAAGCTCAGCTTAAGTCTAACGGACTATACAAGTTCAAACTCTAAAGTCTAAACTCAAGCCTGCCCTAGCTTCACATTTTCACTGGTATTTTCAGAAATATTATAAAAAAATATTATCAACTCACATATACTTAATATTAATATTTTCACAAGTAATAATATACTTGGATGTCTTAAATTTACACGCTCATATATTTAACAAATATATATACATATATTTTTTGTGTTATTTCAATTTGTTGGAGTTGTATACTGTAAATGTGTGAGTGCAAGTTCAAGGAATGAACACCTATGGTTAGAGAATTATGAGATGTGTATATATGTGTATGTAGCCTTATATTAGGAAATACTTAGTAAAATAGTCAATACGAACACTCTTTTTACTTGTCACACTTTAAACATACATTTTATTTTGTT